ACTAATATATCATATAGCTCCCATAGGACCGATCGAGAAATTTGAGAGAACTGAGAATGGCGGTGGCTGACAATCGCGGTGGCGATAACATTTTCAGTTTTCAACAGAATTTAATCGAATTTGAGATATAGCCATTTTAAATTATTCTACAATTTTGTGTAAAATTTTATGAAAATTGGACTAATATATCATAAAGCTTCCATAGGACCGATCGAGAAATTTGAGAGAATTGAGAATGGCGGTGGCTGACAATCGCGGTGGCGATAACGTCTGCAGTTTTCAACTGAATTCAATCAAATTTAATATATAACCATTTAATAGTATTCTACAGTTTTTGTAAAATTTTATGAAAATCGGACTAATATATCGTATAGCTTCCATAGGACCGATCGAGAAATTTGAGAGAACTGAGAATGGTGGTGGCTGACAATCGCGGTGGCGATAACATTTTCAGTTTTCAACAGAATTTAATCAAATTTGAGATATAGCCATTTTAAATTATTCTACAATTTTGTGTAAAATTTTATGAAAATCGGACTAATATATCGTATAGCTTCCATAGGACCGATCGAGAAATTTGAGAGAATGAGAATGGCGGTGGCTGACAATCGCGGTGGCGATAACATTTTCAGTTTACAACAGAATTTAATCAAATTTGAGATATAGCCATTTTATATTATTCTACAATTTTGTGTACAATTTTATGAAAATCGGCCTAATATATCATATAGCTCCCATGGGACCGATCGAGAAATTTGAGAGAACTGAGAATGGTGGTGGCTGACAATCGCCGTGGCGATAACATTTTCAGTTTTCAACAGAATTTAATCAATTTGAGATATAGCCATTTTAAATTATTCTACAATTTTGTGTAAAATTTTATGAAAATCGGACTAATATATCATATAGCTCCCATAGGACCGATCGAGAAATTTGAGAGAACTGAGAATGGCGGTGGCTGACAATCGCGGTGGCGATAACATTTTCAGTTTTCAACAGAATTTAATCAAATTTGAGATATAGCCATTTTAAATTATTCTACAATTTTGTGTAAAATTTTATGAAAATTTGACTAATATATCATAAAGCTTCCATAGGACCGATCGAGAAATTTGAGAGAATTGAGAATGGCGGTGGCTGACAATCGCGGTGGCGATAACGTCTGCAGTTTTCAACTGAATTTAATCAAATTTAATATATAACCATTTAATAGTATTCTACAGTTTTGTGTACAATTTTATGAAAATCGGCCTAATATATCATATAGCTCCCATGGGACCGATCGAGAAATTTGAGAGAACTGAGAATGGTGGTGGCTGACAATCGCCGTGGCGATAACATTTTCAGTTTCAACAGAATTTAATCAAATTTGAGATATAGCCATTTTAAATTATTCTACAATTTTGTGTAAAATTTTATGAAAATCGGACTAATATATCATATAGCTCCCATAGGACCGATCGAGAAATTTGAGAGAACTGAGAATGGCGGTGGCTGACAATCGCGGTGGCGATAACATTTTCAGTTTTCAACAGAATTTAATCAAATTTGAGATATAGCCATTTTAAATTATTCTACAATTTTGTGTAAAATTTTATGAAAATTTGACTAATATATCATAAAGCTTCCATAGGACCGATCGAGAAATTTGAGAGAATTGAGAATGGCGGTGGCTGACAATCGCGGTGGCGATAACGTCTGCAGTTTTCAACTGAATTTAATCAAATTTAATATATAACCATTTAATAGTATTCTACAGTTTTTTGTAAAATTTTATGAAAATCGGACTAATATATCATATAGCTGCCATAGGAACGATCGAGAAATTAATACAATCAAAAATTATAAAATTTCCAGTTTTCTACAGATTATCATCAAATTTGGGGTATATCCATTTTATATTAGTTTTAAATATTGTGTCAAATTTCATGAAAGTCGGACGACTATATCATATAGGAGGTGCCATACAAATGATCGTTTGATTTAGAGGAAAAGTGCAAATCTGTGAATGTAAAACTGCAAATATACTATGTATACATAGGTGCATGAAATGAAAGCAGGTATTACTTCATTGTTTTTTAACACAAATATATATAATTTATATTGTATGGATTCCTAGTCATAGAAGTTCTATCTGCAAGGGTATATAAACCTCGGCGTGCCGAAGTTACCTTTCTTTCTTGTTTTTTGGTAAATCATTGTTTTATTGAATGTCATAACTAAGTACAAAGTACATTTATCTCGATATGGAAGCCTAAGCCAAAAATGCATTAGTTTCAATACGGAAGCCTGTTCTGTGCTGGTTTTGAATAGGTTAATAAATCTACAAGTTAAAAAAATTTTGATATTTTTATAACTTATGTAAATTTTATCGATGTTGTCCCTTATAAGTTTTTGGAAAAAATGGCCAAAATATAAGTTTTTTCCATTTTATGCCTAGAAAGATTCGTCTGTTAACGCTGACCAAGAATATATATAGTGCATTGGGCCGGAAATGACTCTTTCACTGCGTGGCAAGATTCCGACTGAAACTATAATACCCTGCAAGATTATAATAATATTGGGAAAGTTGGTGCCAAGGTCAGTGTGAGTTTAAAAACTATCGTAAGGGTAAGAAATCAATAGCAGTGAATAATTTATAAATAAGTTGGGGTGTTAATTTGACTTGAAGATATCCCGAATAGAAATTGCTATAAAATAGATGCATAGCTAGCACAGCTGATTCTAGACCTGGCCCTAATCTGCATCACTACCACTATCCTTATAGATGTTAACACTGGTCAGGCTGCGCACAAAATGAGGGCAGTGCGACGGCAGAGCCCGTATTTATAGTCTCCGAGCGAAGAGAACAGAGAAAGTGAGAGCGAGAGCGGGGGAGAGAAAGAGATACCTGAAGGAATAGGCAGAGGGAGGTAGAAAGAAAGAGCTATCCCTAAGAGTACACAAAGAGAAAGAGACATACACATTGAACGATAATTTTCATGGCCTCTATATGATACAGTCGTCCGATTAAAAAAAAATTAAGCCAGAAATTATAAAATAATACAAAATGGCATTATCTTAGATAAGATGTATGTTGGAAACTGACACAATTTTCCGGTCGTTCATATCACAGCTATATGATGTACATAGTCGTCCGATTCGGACCGTTCCGACTTATATACCAATATAAGATCTCTTCATCGCTTTTTATTTTATGATTATTTAACTTTTACCTTTTTTCGGAAATCGATATTATATATGTATGTATATAGATACATTTAATTGACATACCCAATTAAATTTTAGGAAATCGAACAAACTTCTCAATGTAGTTTCCTGTAGTTTCCTCCCCCTCCTGGGTATTCGCTCGTGGCATATGACATTTGAATTTGCATTCCCGTTTCCATTTCTATTTCTATTACTTCGATGACAATTCAGTTTTGATTGATGAACCACCCATTTTCCTCCCATTAAGTTGTTCGGCAATTTTGTATCATTTTGAAGCCTCGGTTCGGGGTCCTGTGGCCGTGATCGATTATCCAGAAGCAAATCGGGGCAATTTCGTGAATTAGCCGAGTCGTGCGCCTACAGTCGCCCCAATAATAAATAATAATAAAGTAATCTATACCTTCCACTCGACATATCGCCGAGTATTTGACCCATTTCTGCAGCTCGGTTCACTATCAGAGCCCAAAATCGACAAAGGCTTTGTTGCTCTGAGCCTCGAAAGGGGAAAATGTCGACGAAGCGATACGAAACGAGTCTCTCCGGCACTGCACTCAGCACACTACCCAATTACACTTAACAAACTCATTAAGTTCGGCATTTGCCAGCCGGGGAATGGACTGGAAAACAAAAAAAATATAAAACAACCAGCGGGTGTCAGGCCAAGAAATTGCATGCATTGAAAGCTCTTTAAAAATCCAAAATAGAAAAACTCGAAAAACCGAAAAACAAGCAGCAGCAACAATTGTGTTGAAACGAGCCAAAATCGCATACGAGCTTATAAAAGGCTCCTGGCTGTGGGTGGGGTCTATATATATAGTACAAAGTATTAAGGAGCAGAGCGGTTCGGGTCGGGGGCTAAGGCATTTATGCCTAGAACTCGGGCCATGGCACACACCGAATTTATGCCAGCTGCCCGGCCAACCGCTCACATTATTATTGACTTTTATCGATACGACATTTGACTGCCGCACAGCCAGCCAGAGTCCGAAAAAATGGAAAACTAAAACAGAAAAACTGAGCTCAAACTCAAATGCGAAATGCGAGACCTGGGCCCAGAGTCGCTTACCAAGTGTATTAAATTGGTATACGACATTGCATCGCTCTTATTTATTCTAGGGCCCAAGCCCAACGGCTCTTGTCCAGAAAGATGACACAATGTTGGTTTTTAAAAGATGCTAGAATTGTTCTTGAAATCCATACAAATTGGCTCTTACTTTTTCCATAGTAAGAACTTAAGTAAGTAAGTAAGTAAGAAAGTAAGTAAGTTTCATTTTATCTACTATTAAAATTATAAAGGTTGTTAATATTTTTTACAATTTTGGTTAAAATATTTATATGTTTGAAGCTTCAAAGACACTGGACAGACTTATTACTTGCATCAGTCCCTCAGCTTTCGCGTTTTGTAGATAAAACTTTGACAAAACGATTTAAAAACAAATGAGAACATAACAGAGAAATTTGTAGTTTTACGTTTTCATAGTCTGCAAGGGTATAGCCCCGATCAAAGCAAACTGCCATTCTTGTTTATATGACATTTGCGCGAGTTTTTGTAAAGCCCCCTGATTCGCCAGAGGAAGCCCCATCTTCGCCTGGGGTTTCCTGTTGGCTCGAGTGCTGTTGGCGAGCTCAACGACGACGCATGTTCGACAACACATTTCACCACTCGATGTCAGACATCGCGCACCGCCATAACATCGAGTACCCGAAATACTCGAGGCTCGTGTCGAGTGGATTTCTCTGACGGATTTCTGATCTCTGATTTCTCCTCTTGATCTCTGCTATATTTTCAGTCAAATTCCCTGAGGAAGACAGTGACATGGTGATGGAGCCGAACGACTTTGCCCCGATTACGGTGCTGCGATCCCATGAGCAACACTTCCACATGCCCCCATCCACGCAGCTCCATTCGCAGCTGCAGCCGCTCCAGAACCACGCCGCCATTCAGCCCCGGGCTCAGCCAAGGCAGTTTCAGGTAGCCACGCAGCAGGAGCACCAGGATCCGGGGGAGGAGCCGTTTCGCCCGATAGTAAATCCCAATCCCGGAAAGCTAGTGGCCAGATCCGACACCGATTCCCATACGCAAGCGGCCCAGAATTTCTTTCCTCCATTCTACCACGAGGCGCCGCCCCTCGGCCACTCTAGGCCCTACTTTGGTCACGGCCCCGTTTCGGAGAGTACACCCCTGTCACTGCCACTGCCGCTCCTGGCGCCGCAGCAGCAGCAACAGCAGCCCGTGCAGCAGCATCAGCAGAAAAACTTCGACGCCAGCATCCTAGGCAGTGGGGACTTCGGAGTGCTGCGCGGGGGAACCTTTTATCCGGAGGAGGAGATGCCCTACCACCCGGAGGACAACAGCGACTACATCTACGGCGATGCCACCAACAACGGTCACGGCCGCCCCTCCGAGGGATTCGTGCAGAAGTACACATATCCGGAGGAGCAGTTCGCCAACTTCAGGGACTTCGCCGACATAAACACACCGGCAGACTCGGCCTTTTCGCAGTACGTGGTCGTTTATGCGGCAAAGAATGCCACGGCCTCGAACTCGCATCCGCATCCGAAGAACATTTTTGAGCAGCTGGAGCTGCTGGACCGCGAGAAGGAGCTGGAGGCCAAGACCAAGCCCAAGGCCAGCCGGAGCAAGAGCTCGTCCAAGGCAAAGGCTAAGCTGTCCAAGACCAAGCTGCAGAAGAAGTACCGGAAAAAGTGGAGGGACCCAAGGTCCAAGATCCCCAGGACCTGCAGGACCCCCAGGATCCCCTAGAGCTGGAGCCATTACTGGCCCTTAGTTAAATAAGCTAGCCAGCAAGTTCCATCTCTAACTCCACATCTATCGCTACTATCATTTCCACTTCCGTTTCCCCTGTTAGATTTATTTATTTAATTTCGAGATGAATGCAAGCCACCACAAAAGAGCCACCCGTACTGTCCCCTAAATATATGTATATCCATTATCCACATCCATGTCCCCGTTTACATTCCCCTTTCAAAACTCACATCCATTCCCATATCCCGTAACGCAATTATACTTAGTACTATATACCAGTGTTTTTTTGTCTGTCTGCTTTTTGTCTCGCATCGATTGTTAATTCTATAACCTAGCCGTAGTCTACTCTATATGTGTGTATACGATGCATGAACATCTATATATACTTCTTATATGCGTATCTAATGTAATTATTTTTTGTCTAATTGAGCATAATTTTATTATGTGCGTGTACATAAAAAGAGAAATGTTAAATGTAATTATAAACCTAAATAAAAATAAAATTAAAACATGTAACAGTTCCTTTTTTTTAGCTAAAAATATAGGTATGCTCAGTATTGTTAAGCCGTTTCGTATTTGGCATAAAGGGCATTCAGCAATGTTGTTAGAGAGCCCGCCGTGCGAAATATCTTAAAAGGAATATTTGATTAGCGTCATTGAAGTATGAATTATTAAATGTCTCAGCTAATTACTGCCTAGGACTCACCCAGACGAGCAGAGGTCTCCCCAGCTCAAAGAAGTAGGCCCCCAGGACAGTTTCCCTCTGAGCCCGTTGCAGCGGAAAGAGCATTAGCTTTCGGTGCGACGGCAAGAGCTTCTGCCAGGGCAGCTCCTGGTAGAGCTCCCTGGCGAATCCAGCGGCCTCCAGCCGCACCTGCTCCGCTCCGAAGAGGTAAATGCACAGCTGCGTGGTCACCACCATCGAGAAGAAGCCGAGAAAGGCGAAGTTCTGGTTGCTGTGCGGCATTATGTACTGACAGATCACCGAGCAGTACAGCACGCAGATTACCAGAACCTCCACGAAGGCGATTCCCATGAAACTGGCATTGAAGTACTCCACCAACCTAAGGAGACGAGCGTGCTCCCAGAACAGCTCGCTCAGACCCAGGTCGGAGCGGGAGGGATCTAATTGGTTGTCGAGAAGGAGCTTCAGCTGCTTTCCCAGGCGGCGGTACTGGGAACTCAGACCCAGAGCACACCACCCATACAAGGTGTCCACTCCAGTGGTGGAGCAGCAGAAGAAGGTTAGCACGAACCCCATCAGGACGCAGTCCATTGTATAAATGTGCGGCTTGGTGATGTCGTAGGGAAGTCTATTGAATTATACATATTATTATTCCCTACCAAGTCATTGTATATTAAGCAACTGCTATAAAAATAGAGGAACAAAAGCGAGCCACATTCTCGTTCGACTTACTGCACCCGGAACGAGCTGACTGGGACGAGCTCCCCCGTAGAGTGGTACCGCCACATGGTCAGTGCCACTGGCATCAGCAGAAAAGAGACACTCGTGCCGGCACACATGGCAAAGTAGACGGCGGCCATCAGCTGGCCCCGGCGGTTTTGCGAGTTCCACTCCGTAAATCCGATGACACTGTCGTCGCTAAATGGAGCTTGGACCATCCGGATGAGGGCCATCAAATCGCGGGATTTGGCCACAAAAATGGCCATCTTCAGCAGTGACGAGATCATCTGCAGGCCGTGCATCAGCGCCTCTGAGCAGAGCACAATCTGGTTGCGATGCTTGACGATGAAGGCGCAGACAGTGCAGAGCTCGAAGCCGGTGGAGCAGACCATAATCCCGTACAGCAGGGGCGATCGGAGGACACCTCCATTTCTCGACGGCTGCAGGTCGATACCCATGCAGGCAAAGGTGAAGCGCTGCGTCCACAGATTCCCCAGAAAAACCTCGACTAGCTTTGACATTTCGCTGGCAACTGAGGACTTGGGCGTCGGCGATCATCCCTCGGAATGACCGCAATTAAAGAAGCAATTAAAAGCGGGGGGCGGGAGCAAAAACTTTGGAGGAGCACTGTCGCCTAATTGGGCCTTTAACTACAACTTAATTTGTCCAGCAGCGATACTTGGCTAAGTGAAACCGAGCCAGCGAATGATTTAATTACACGCCCGAGGCGTCTGTCCGTCTAAAGTTTAGGCTCAGACTCGAGTCAAGCCACACCTGTTCGGTAAGTACTGTGGTTGACCAGGATATTAAATTGATTAGAATTAAAGACCCCTGGACTTAACGTTACTCACTAAACATAACATACACCAACCATTCAAAGGTGTATTGCTACTATTATTGTTTTCTTTCTAAAGATAACCACCAGGCAATTATTATCCCTAAATATTACTACTAATTTTTATCAAGCCTGTTAAATAAAGGTAATGCTAGTAATTAAATACAGTTCCTACTTTTGTTATATATACTTTAATTATTATATACAATATATTAAGCTAAAGTTGTTTGTTTTTTAAACTCTTTTATTTACATTTTTTTTTAACCCCTTCTCAAACCTGCACTGCGACTGCACTTTACGAGCCACTGTACCAGGCCTCATGGTTAACGGTAACGCGTTTGCTTCGCTCATACAGAGTTAAATACTATTGCAGGGTATTTTTCAAAACTTTCAATCAAAACTTTGCGACGCGGGGAAGGAGCATATGATTTTTAAGCTTTGATTTGTCGACAAAATATTTTCACATAAAAATATCTATTTAAAGAATGCGAGTATTTGAATATTAGCTATGATCAATTTCCGATTCGATCGTTTAATTAAATTGCAAACTGCAAGGTATATAAGCTTTGGCTTCCAGAAGCTAGTTTCCATTGTTGTTTAATTTCTATTTTTTGTATACACATATTTACTGCAGTCATGGTCATTGTCCGCTAGCGGTTTTGTTGCTGTGGGTTGATGTGGCTGCTGCTGGTCTTGCTTTGCGTATGTTTATCTACTGACGCGACAGCCGCACAATTCCCGACTTCGGCATATGTTTTGACATTTGGAGGCTGGCACTTTATTAACGGCCTCGCCAGTCGTAAAGTATGCATACACAGAACAAAAAAAAATTAAAAAAAAAAAAAAAAACAAGTATACGTAGGTAGTACATTCTGTGTTGTCCTTTCTGCTACCACAGATAACCATTTAAACAAGGTACAACCTGGTGTAAGTTTCAAATGAATTATAATTAATAAATAACTCTACTGATACACTTAATTAAGACATCTTTCTTCTGTGCACAGATACATACAACACTTTATACATGTTGTCAGTGCGTATGAACTCAGATCGCAGCCGACAGTCGCTGTGTCCGGTAAGTATTTTAATTAACTAAGAAAACTAATTAAAAAGTCTTTGTCTCGCCCCCGGCCTGACAGAAATTCAATTAAACGCCAATTTCCACCCCATTCTAGACCGTGGGAAAATCGAAACCGAAACAAAGAACTCAAGTGATCGATTGACAGTAAATAAATAAAGATAATGCATATGTACATAGCTTCTTCGTTGTCATTTGTACAATCATCGATTCTGGGAACCTCTTAATAAAAGACTCATAAAGTCATCAGTTGATGAACGAGCCAACGCTGCGTATACTCGATGCGGACAGCGCAGTGCGAAGTGCGGCATTCGAGCAATTTGCTAATAAATGGGTTGGTCAGCGCGATTCGAGTCAGTCGGATTCGACTTGCAAATGCCTTAATTAATTAATATGCAAAATAAACGGCAATTATGGGCAGTCATAATGGCTGTGGAAAAGGTGTGCGAATGATGAATGGAGCCAAAGAGGGGATTTAAAATGTTTTCCTATACAATATAAGCATTTATTTTCGAAGGTTTTATTGTGCGGCTGGGCAAAAAAGGGGGTCGGCACTCCTCTGGCAGCTCTTTGAGACCATGTGTCAACGAGAACTGCCAAAATAGGCCCCCGAAATTAGAGACCGAAAAGCCAGTCCGGAAAAAAAGAAAAATAAAGTATTTGAATATTCTAAGGGGCCCCAAAAGCAGAACCAGAATCCAGAGTTGAAAAGCCACTTGAACGAACACCCACACGGCCAACGATGTGTTGTGGTTGTCGTGTTGCTAATAAACTTGGGCCACGAAAATTTGTACCAGCCGTAGATAGGTTTATTTATTTTTTGTTGTTGCTGTTTTCCGCACGAGTACAAATCTGGCGACAGCTCAGAAGAAAAAACCAGAAGGGAAACTACTTTGAGAATACGAAGTTTCTATACCCTTGCAGTTACCTATATTATCATGGTTTCGAATATAAAATCGATTATAACTAAGCCAAAGATGCATTAATATCATCAATCAATTATTTTTGAGGTCGAAGGGTACTAGCTTATACTACCACTTTCACTTAAGATGTTAACAGTCGGAAGGCTGCAACAGAATGAGGCCAAAGCGACGGCAGTGGCTCTAATTATACTCTACGGATAAAGAGAACAGCGAAAGGGAGAGCGAGTGAGTAAGGTATAACTCTAAAGATACTCAGAGAGAAATGGAGAGATAAAGGCAACTTAAGAGACAGAGAGAGAGTTAAGCATTTTCCTCTACAGGCAGATATATTGTATAGTCGTCCGATCTGAATAAAATGAAAACCAAAATTATAAAATAATGGTTTAGCTCCACTTTAATGAAAATTATAATAATACCCTGGAAGGGTATAAAAATAACAGAGATTGGCTTAACAGAAAAGGTTTACACACTTGGCATCCGCTTGTGGCCTTATTTTAGCTTGAGGTTTTTTCGCTTTTTTCGGGCTATTTGCGTTTCGTGCCGCTGAAAACTTTATTAATATCCAAATCGTGAGCTTAATTGAAATTTATTGTTAATGAAAACAAAATTATGGCTAAGACCGAAACAACAGCCACTTGACACGAAAGAACCAGAGTCTGGGGCTGAATCCAGATATGTGTTCGAAGCGCCCACAAAAGTCACGAGTGGTGAAGGGAAGGGTAGGGACGCCCATGTTTAAGTCTGTAACGCTGTAAATCGGTGTCATTAATTTGGCATTTAAGCGCTCATTAAGGTGACAGACTACGACGGCTGAGTGACAGAATCGGTGGGTGGAATTGCCACATTTGAGAGCAGAACTGGCCAATCCATAAGCCGCCAGTGGAGAGCTCCAATAGCCGTTTCATGTAAGTCATGACCACGGCTCAGGCTTTGAAGTTTTCTCAAGCCCTTATTGGCCCAGACCAAGAGACCGAAAACATTGCGCAAATAGTTATGGAATCAAACTGAATGTTTGTAACTTCGGCATCATCATTCTTCAGACTCTTCTAGCCGGCGGCTTCTGTTTGCCCAACCATTTTGAAGTCTCAGCTCTTTGGCCTCTCAGCCTTTAAGCCTTAAAGCCCTTCAGCGTTTCAGCCTTTCACAGTTGCCAACTAATGCAAATAAATTGTGAGCAGTCACCTGTCAAGCGGACTCATCAAGTCACTCCTGTGTCCCCCTGTCGGAGAGACCGAGTTTCGACTGAGTTAGGGAAGCAATTGCGGATTGTTGGATGTCCCTCAACATCACGGCTTAGAGTTTGGCGGATGTAACTTCGGTTGCATAAATGCACTCAAAAAATTTTAGTATTGAATTGTCATTTCAAATTGTCAATTTCAAAGTCATGGCAGAATACCTGGATTTCACATTGTTGTGATTACCTAAAACATATTGTAAAGCCTTCTGAAAGGTAATTGTTTATAATTTTGATCAATAGCCTTACCAACAATAATAACAGGCTTTATGATATTTTGTTGAGGGCAGAAATGTCAAAGCTCCTTTTAAGGACAATTATGGTTAATTTGCTTTTGGCAGAGTGTGGATTAAACATTGTTTGTTCGGAGCTACCGTTCGTTGTTTGCCGTTCTCATTTGGATTTCGGCTTTCGGCTTAAGGTTTTGCACGCTTCCTCTCTCTGTCAATGTTAATGCTGGAAACTTGAAAAATTTCAACAAGAGCCGCGCAGCCACAATTGTTGTGCCGAGTATTTGTCGTTTGTGTAATGATTTTAATGCCAAGCATAAACAATTATTTTCAATTGCAACACATTCTATTGTTGTTCGTCGACCGCCATTTGCCATCGTTTGTTTTCTGTTTTGTGTTTGTGCAATTGGAATTGTAGATTTAAGATGTCGCAGATGTTCGGATGACTCGCAAAGCCAAGTTGGTTGTGTTTTTTTTTTTTCTTTTTTTTCCATTTGACAGGCCGATGAGTCAGTCACTCAGTCGCGCAGACAGTCAGTCAGTCAGTCAGTCAATCAGGCAATCAGACAATCGGACACTTGAGCGATTCGATTGATTGCCAAGTCAGCCAGCACGTGTCGCATCGCCACAAGTGCGTTGTCAACTGGGCCATTGACGAGTTTTAACATAAAAGGCATTGCTTTTGTCAAAATGACTCGAAAAACACACATATTTAGTAGAAAATATTTTGAATCAATAAAAACAAAGAAAGGCCAACTCCTTCGTGGATCTGCATTGCGCAAAACTTTTGACCTGTTCTCCGGTTATTGTTCAAACAAGTGATCATAATGATTACTCATGTCAATTATTATATAAGACAGATGTCGGCATGCGGCGAAAGCCTCAAAGAGGCAGCAACCAGAAACCAAAGGGCAACAAACAAACAGCCGAACAACGAAACGGAGGCAGCCGAACTGCAATTGATTTTGTTGTATAATTCGTACAGCTTTATCTTGTCGGCAGTTGCATGAAATTTATTGAAGATGAGCTGCGCTTTATTGCCGCCAGTTTTTTTTTTTTTTTTGTTTTTTCCTTTTTTGCGACGGGAAAGGGGGAATCGCTTTAACAAGCTGACGATGCGACACAGTGGGAATTTCGCAAAACGAAAGACTTAAGACACGAACTTTGGCTCGCAGGGTCTTCTGTTTGGGACCTGCGAAATAAAAATTATCGCCCCTGATC